AAAATGGCGGCCTAAACGAGTGAATTTGAGGTCATAACTGAAGGCCGATGGGCTCCGCCCAATCGGCCCCCTGTGCGTCTCGTTGAGTCCTTTCTAGAAAGTGGTCGCACGCTGAAAACGAACACTCCTAGCAAAAGTTATGCCAAATAATTGGACACCCCAAGGGGCTACTTCCCCAAAAGTTTGCTAGTGTGTTTTGCATATTTGTATGAAGTTTGCGATGTGTAATTGTGTGTGAGTTGTATTTGGTTTTCATGGTCAGGTTCGATCCTTGCTGTAGCAGCGAAAACTTGCCGTGAAAGCCTTTTCAATGTGGTGGGCTCCGCCTTTGTTTGCAATGGTTTCCTTTGTTCTGTACCCTTTCGGTGGCATCCTTACGTTCTAACTGCTGAGTTCTGTCGTGTGCCTTCCCGTTTGGGAACCAAAGGGTTGGCATTCGATTGACGCCATGGCACTGCTTGTGGTACACTATCTCTTGGCTTTTTCCTGGAAAGTTTTTGCCCATTGGTTGTTGTTGAGTGCTCGGGTTTGGTACACTGATGGGCACTGGTTAAGAATTTTCTGTTAGCCTAATTTTGCCCGTTAAGTATTTTTTCCCAGGGTTCCCTGGTTCATTATTGGCTTCACCTTCACTTCTGTGATTGTGTTTCCCTCCGTATGACCGCCTATGATGTGTTGAGTTCGCTTTCAGTTTTTGCGTGTCAAGGTGCATTGAGGAATGATACTTGGTTGATCCTGCCAGTAGTCATATGCTTGTCTCAAAGGTTAAGCCATGCACGTGTAAGTATGAACAAATTCAGACTGTGAAACTGCGAATGGCTCATTAAATCAGTAATAGTTTGTTTGATGGTACCTACTACTCGGATAACTGTAGTAAATCTAGAGCTAATACGTGCAACAAGTCCCAACTCTTGGAAGGGATGCATTTATTAGATAAAAGGTCAATGCGGGTTTTCCCCGTCTTACGATGATTCATGATAACTTAACGGATCGCAAGGCCATAGTGCTGGCGACGCATCATTCAAATTTCTTCCCTATCAACTTTCGATGGTAGGATAGTGAAAAATCAAGGTGGTGACGGGTGACAGAGAATTAGGGTTCGATTCCGGAGAGGGAGCCTGAGAAACGGCTACCACATCCAAGGAAGGCAGCAGGCGTGCAAATTACCCAATCCTGACACGGGGAGGTAGTGACAATAAATAGCAATACTGGGCTCATTCGAGTCTGGTAATTGGAATGAGTACAATCCAAATCCCTCAACGAGGATCCATTGGAGGGCAAGTCTGGTGCCAGCAGCCGCGGTAATTCCAGCTCCAATAGCGTATATTTAAGTTGTTGCAGTTAAAAAGCTCGTAGTTGGACTTTGAGATGGGTTTGCCGGTTCGCCTCATGGTGTGCATCGTTGAACTTGTCTCTATTGCTGGTGATGTGCTCCTGGTCTTAATTGGTCGGGTCATGCCTCCAGTGCTGTTACTTTGAAGAAATTAGAGTGCTCAAAGCAAGCCTACGCTCTGTATACATTAGCATGGGATAACATTTATGAATGACGAACAACTGCGAAAGCATTTGCCAAGGATGTTTTTATTAATCAAGAACGAAAGTTGGGGGGTCGAAGACGATCAGATACCGTCCTAGTCTCAACCATAAACGATGCCGACTAGGGATCGGTGGATGTTGCTTTTAGGACTCTACTGGCACCTTATGAGAAATCAAAGTCTTTGGGTTCTGGGGGGAGTATGGTCGCAAGGCTGAAACTTAAAAAAATTGACGGAAGGGCACCACCAGGAGTGGAGCCTGCGGCTTAATTTGACTCAACACGGGGAAACTTACCAGGTCCAGACATAGTAAGGATTGACAGATTGAGAGCTCTTTCAACGATAAAATGTAAATAGAATACAGAATAAGAATGTACAACTAGAACGGGCATACCCGAGCTTGGAAATGGCAGTTTCCAAATCCATAAAGACAAGAAACAAAAACACCAAAGGTCCACAGACCAAACAACAATACAACAAACAAAACAAAGGCACAAACGCCTAGAACAAGAACCAAACAAAAATCAAAAGGTTACAGAGTACAAAGGCCACAGCCTCCCTAGGATTGAATAAACCATAACCTTGATTTTAGAAGTCACAGCCTCAATAGAGAGAGGTTCACGCTCAAAGTGGGCAGCATTACGTAGCTTCCAAAGGTGGAAAACAGTGCAGGCAAAAGCAATCCTTCTTGCCTTCTTGAGAATCATATCCCCTCGCCTAAATGCCTTCAGCCATCTGATGACTCTGGTGAGGGTACTCAGGTGTCCTTCCATACCTAGCCAAGTCTTGATATTATCCCAAACTTCTTTAGAGAACTGGCAGCTAAAGAACAGGTGGTCCACATCTTCCAACCCATGTCCACAAAAAGTGCAGTCCATAGGTAAACCGAGGAATTCCAAGTTTGCTTTGGTGGGCAGCCTCCTCCTAAGTGCCAGCCACATCGTAAAGGAACACTTAGGGGAATATAACTTTGCCAGATGAAAGCCATCCAAGGCTTCGGGTTGGCTTTAACCCTAAACAAATCATAAACCTTTCTTGGAATGAGGTTACCTGCCAAGCAAAAGGGTTTCATAGCCTCTTCCATAGAAGGATAATGGTCACCAAGCTTTTGGACCAGAAGCTCTCTCACGTAGGCAAGCCTTTTGAAGAAGACAGAGTGTCTCTTCTTGGGTTGCCACTGCCACAGGTTCTCACCCTGAATGTAAACATTGTGAACCCATTTGACCCAAAGGGTGTCCTTCTTTGCTGCCAAGTTCCACAGAAGTTTGCACAACAAGGCATTATTCCAGGTATTGGCATCCTTCAAACCCAGTCCACCTTCAACCCTTGGCTTGCAAATATCAACCCAGGCGACCTTGGAAAATTTGCTGCCCCAAAGGAAGCCTCTACACATGGAGGTGATACGGTCAAGCACATACTTCTGGACAGGGAAGGCCTGGAGCCAGAAGGATTGGACTCCCTGTACCACTGCTCTAATTAGTTCCAGTCTGCCAGCGTAGGATAACTTCAAGGTGCTCCATTTAGACAGAAAACCATCAACAGTTTTGAACAAAGGGGCAAAATCACTCTCAGAGATCCTTTGAGAGGCCAAAGGGAGACCCAGATATCTAACAGGAAGCTGACCATGAGGAAAGGAGGCAGGATCCAGAATATTTTGGCTAACATCCCTGTATTTACCAGCAAGGAAGATGTTGGACTTGGTAGGATTAAGGGTTAGGCCAGAGACCCTTGAAAAGTGGTCCAAAGCATCCATTAAAACCTGCACAGAATGGACATCTCCTCTAGAGAACAACATAAGATCATCTGCAAAAGCCAAGTGCGTAATCCCAAGTGCTGCACAGCCTGTGATAGTTGAAGCCACCTTCTTTAGCCCTTTTGTTGAGTAACCTAGAGAAGTACTCAATACAAAAGAGGAAAAGGGTAGGTGCCATGGGATCCCCTTGTCTAAGCCCACGCTGACTAGGAAAGAAGCCATGGCTGTCTCCATTAACCATAATAGATGAAGAAGCAGAGGAAACACACTCCATGATAAGTGAGACAAATCTAGGGGGAAAGCCCAACCCATGCATCACATCCTGCAAAAAACTCCAAGAGACAGTATCATAAGCCTTGGTGATATCCAATTTGATCAAACAGCTAGGTGTGGACCTCTTAATAGCATAATCCCTGATAAGGTGTTGAGCAAGGAGGAAATTGTCCACAAGAGATCTCCCTGGGACAAAGGCCCCTTGTGCAGGGTCAATCAAATCAGGGAGTAAGGGAGCCATACGCTTAGCCAAGATCTTGGTGATGACTTTGTAAAGTACATTGAGGCAGGCAATAGGCCTAAAGTCTTTAATAGTTGGATTATGGGAAGATTTAGGAATGAGAACAATCATAGCATGATTAATTTGTCTCAATAATTTCCCTGAGGTGAAGAATTCCAACACAGCTTCATAGATATCCCTACCCACAACAGCCCACTGATCTTTGAAGAAAGCTGCAGTATAGCCATCAGGGCCTGGAGCCTTGTCATTACCAATGTCAAAGACTGCCTCCCTCACCTCCTCAGGTGTAACAGAAGCAAGGAGAGAGGACTGGGCAGATGAAGGAACTCTGGTTCCAGTAGTCAAAATCTCCAGCTCAATGGGTTCAACTGGGGAAGTAGTGCCAAAGAGTGTAGTAAAAAAGTCCACAAAGATATTAGCCACCTCATCCTTAGAGGTAGTTTTAGATCCATCCTCTCTAACCAAGAACCCAACAGTGTTTTTCCTTCTGTTCTTCTTAACAATGGAGTGAAAGTAACTGGTGCATCTATCAGAATTCATAAGAAAATCACATTTGGCGTTTTGTTGATAGAAGGCCAATTCAGCATCAAGGAGGAAGTTAGCTCTCTTCCTTTTGATATCAGCATCATCAAGAAGGGTTTGATTATTAGGGTCAAGGACCAACTGCTTCATCACCAATCCATACTCTTCCTTAGCTTCCATAGCTCTTCTAGAAATATGACCAAAAGCCTGCCTGTTGAGGGCTTTTAAGGGAGGTTTGAGGCGTTTAAGCTTGGAGCATAAGGAGAATTGCTTAGAGCCAACCACACCTGCCTCCCAAGACTGGGAGATCAACCCATTGAAGCCCTCATGCTTTAGCCACATATTGAAGAATCTGAAAGGCCTGAACCTGTTACCAGGGGGTGCACCACACTGAAAAAGGGTGGGGCAGTGATCAGAGAGGAAATTGAAATCCAAAAATTCACATGTTGGAGCCAAACCAATGTCTCCCCAGGATTGGTTAGCAAGGACTCTATCCAGTTTTGCAAGTTTGTTCCCTTTATGCCAAGTGAAGAAATTTCCAGTAGAAGGAACATCTTCTAAGCAGTTAAAAGACTTGAAACCTTGTAGATCAGTCATATAATAAGCTCCTTGGCTCATACAGTTCACTCTCTCATTGCTATCTCTCATTGCTAGCCAAAACACAGTTAAAATCACCAAGCAAAGCCCAAGGTTTGGAGATATTCTGTGCTAGAGAGGACAAATCATTCCACAGCTCCCTTCTTTTGGTGACTGTGTACAGGCCATAAATGAAGGATAGTAAAATCTCCTTTTGTGTTGTGAGGCAATGGACTTCACAGTGAAGATATTGCTCACCCACTCCCAAAACATTACAAGCAAAAAAGGAAGGGTTCCACAAGATCACCATGCGACTTCAAGGCAAAACTTCAAAATTGGTGGCAAATTTCCACCCAGGCAGTTTGGTAATCACAAAATTCTCCAACTTGGCTCCTGTGATCTTAGTCTCCAACAGGCATACAAAATGGACATCAAGTTCCAAAAGGTATTTACACAAAAATTTCTGTTTTGAGGACCTTGAAAGTCCTCTAATATTCCAACAAAGGACCTTCATGGAGGAGGAGGGGCATTGCCCTTACCACCTTTCTTCTTCTTTGGTCTCTTCCCAACCATGTCTCCATCTTCATACCTCTTCTTCTTTTGTAAATCAACACCCTTTCCAACCATGTTGTCAACAACCAGGCCTTGGGAGTGGGTTCTTTAGCCTTCTCCTTGTTGTTGGAAGAAGAAGGAATCAAGCCCCCTTTAGGTTCAACATGTGGATTTTTCCCAGTAGGTACACAGTCCCTAGCTCCAGCCTTTCCAGGGGGTTCTTTATGCTCCTTTGGCTTATCCATACCAACCTTATTTGTAGCCTCCAAGCCTGCCAGCTCCTTCTTCCTAACCAGTTCTAAGGCTTTGCAGTAGAAGGGGCCATGGTTCCAGGTTTTGCAATGAAAGCAGTATTTGGGGTCTTCCTCAAACACCACTGTTTGTGTGTAAGTCTTACCCATACAAGCTACCTCAAAGTGAGTCATAGGCTGTTTTGAGATGTCAACCTCAACAAGCACTCTACAGAATCCACCCTTGCCTTGCTGCTTAGTAACCAGGTCAGTTCTCAAAGGCTTTCCAACTTTTGAGGCCAGCATTCCAATTCCTTCTTCGGACCATAACTGCAGTGGAACATTGTGTAGCTGAACCCAGACAGATAGAGTGGTGAACTCAGCGAAATCAAACATGAAACCATGAGAAGGGATTTTGAGTCTAAACTCCTTCCCATAAGCTTTGTCCCTTTCCCTGCCCAGCACATCCAATCTATCACTATCATTCTCAAACTTCAGAATAACCCAGCCCTTACAATGGGGAATGATTCTACAAGGTACATTCCATCTTTTGACAATAGCATCCACTGCCTTGAGGCCAGGGAAACGTCCAGTAAAGCAGCCCACAAGGCAGAAACCCCACAACTCCTCAACAGGTTTGATAATTGAATCCGGGATATGCAGAACACCTTCACCAACATCATATTGCTTCAGAATCATACCTTGGTCAGTGTCCCTATTGCCCTTGAAAAGGTCACCAAACGTAACAGGTTTGGCAGCAACCATCTCTGGTTCAGGCATTTTGTCGAACACCTGGGGGGTCTCTTGCGCAGAGGTTATCCCCACCTGAGCTCTTGTGTCAGGGACGTCTTCAGCCAGTGGGGGGGATGTCTCAGATGTGGAAGAAGTAGTTGGAGCCTTCTCCTTCTCAGGTAGTTCCATGGCAATGTCCGTATTTAGACTATGTGTCTCCGTAACATCATCTCCACTCCTTTTCTTCCTAGAACTCCTAGGGAGCTTCTTCTTAGCCTTCTTAGCACTCTGGGCTTTGCCAGAACCCATAGGAGCAGAGGCAACTCAGAAAAGCAACGCAAGAAGCATCGAGGAAGACAGTGAACAGTGAAGCGTAAAGGTCAACGCACACCCTACACAGACGAGGGCATGGCTCAGCAATTCCACCGGTAGAAATGGTCGCCCAGGAGAGGGGAACAAGATTCTACACTCAGAATGGTGAGGCACCAACCAGTGAAGCTCGAATTACAATGGCAATGGTGACGGGCTACTGTAGCTTCGCGTCGCCAGAGAGAAGTCTCGGCCAAAGTATTGAGAGCTCTTTCAAGGGTAACATGTAAATTATTATTACCCAAATAAGAAAAGGTACATCAATGTTATATGCTTAACCATCAACATGGTTACATGCATATTTAAGAAGTACAAGTACACCGTAACTACAAAGCAATTACAACACAATACATCAGAAAGACAATTACAACCAAGGGCCTACTAAGATTCCCTTCGAAGAGGTTACCGGCTCTTCTACAACACAGGGAGGCCAAAACAATCAAAAACGTCATCACGATAACAACTGCTCCAGTGAAGGCACAGCAGCGAGCGCAAAGCCAAACAACCATTGCAAACAGGTGTATCCAAGTCCCTTCGAAGAGTGTAACAGCTCTTCTACAACACAGGGAAGCCAAAACAGGAGTAGTCAAACCCAACTATCAAAAGTCAGCTGTTAGGCGTGTCGTAGCACCTACAAATTAATTTATTATTTTCCTTAACTCTTAACCCTCTATATGATTCAATATTCATCAAAACATATAGATAGGGTAAGTAAGGGTCGATCCCACGAGGAAAAATACTTTTTAGGCTATGAAAATCAGTTTACTTTGTCACTTTTATGGAATAAAAACTACTAACTAAAATCTAAAACCTAAAACTAAAGGATATGGGGGGGTTTGAATGATAAATTCTAAAAAGAAACAAAAATGCAAATAAAATAAAGATAAAGGATAACAGATAAGAGATGGAACTACATCAGCAACTCGAACTCAGAAGAACACTCAGGGAGAAACAAACACACAAAAATAATCACATGATAAACTTTATAAAAACGTAGACAATAATAATTGACTTAAACCATTTTGAAAATACTTATAGTTTTTAATAGAAAATAAACTGAACAAATCTGATTAATTAATTAATTATGCCTTGATTCTGAAATTAAACTGCTAATTAAACTCAGGGTTAGGCTGAAGAAGAGGTCCACCAACGGTTCTTCCCTATTTTCCCATTCATATTAGCTCATGTTAAGATCAACCCTAACTCTAAACCCTACTACCCTTAGCAACTCAAAGACCAACCCTTAAGTTACTACTAAGAATAGCGCATTAAGATTTGTGGAAAACATCACCATAACAACTTTGCAGTAACACTACGGTTATTTAACAAAATCAGTTCGAGAACCTTGATTAGCAAAAACCACTTAACGAGGCAGCAAGTACTAATCAAGTGACACTTGGTTTCTAGAAAAGTTCGGCTATTTAAAGCACTTTGGACTTTAAAAGAATATCATTTTAAACTGGATTAGGCGCGCGTTCCTAATTTGGTCCAATTTAAGTAAAATCTGGTGAATAATAGTTCTCAGAACACCTTTTCGAGTTTAGGTTTAACAGTAGCGTAGAGCTAAAATCTTTTCAAAGTCAAATTAATTCAACAAACAAAGATTCATCTTTTTGTCAAAGAATTCGGCCTAA